TTTTAGGCCCACTTGATCTCAATTCTATATTGCCTGTCGTCCTCGCATCTACTTACAGTATTTACTTACTGGCTATCTCAGGTGCCTGTGAGCAAGGCCGGCTGCAAAAGCGTATTGCTTGACATACCATCTACATTACGGTTTGTTGTATCCAGAATATGTATGTTTACAATGCCAAAAAGGTTACAGATTTACCATCTTTATACCATTATCCACTTCTACTCCCCACACAGACCTGCTAATCAACATGTGCCCCCTGAATTACAATCCTATACGACTTCGATTCCATGCATAACCATCACGGCATCAAGAGTCCCTCCACCAAACGCCGTTCAGTTTAGCCACTTCTGCCCCACTAGATTGCCTTTGCCAGGTCTGCCATGGCTACCCGCACCACAACGACCTTGGCACATGGAGCACGGTGCTGGTGGCGATTGCTTTGCAGCAATCCGGGGCCTACTGGTTGTCAAGTCGACAGCTGGAACAGTGCATATCGTGGGATGTGCCTGTGTACTGTATGCTGACGTCTGCGAGGTACACCTGTGCCGGACCTGCGTCAGAACCCCCCCAAGTCTGGATCAGCTACTATTCGTGACCAGAGAAGACCGCAGCAGGTTAGCACATCGCGACCTGGGCTGCCGGTGGTTGGGCAACGGGGGGTTCGACGCCATCAAGGTCTGCAGGCGATGTTGGACTTGGTTGACTGAAGAGAACCGGCGAAGAGTAGAAGCCATCCAAAGAGATGGGGGCGGCCAGGAACTGCATTCGCACATGTTCATCACCTCACACAGCTGTGTCATTGTCTCGCATATATCTTTCGCTGATTTGCAGATGTCTACCAGTAGTACCGCACAAGGCGGTGGCGGAAGTTTCAAAAATAGGAAACTTATAGGAGAGGTTGGTTGTTGTGGGTCACGGATGGCAGAGCGAAGCCACTGATGGACCGACAGGTGGTTGAGGTCTCCTCTCTTTCTTCTCTCTTTCTCTCTTTCTCTCTTTCTCTCTTTCTCTCTTTCTTTTTTTCTCTCTTTCTCTGACTATCTACCTATCTACCTATCTATCTCTCTATCTCTCTATCTAGCTATCTAGCAATCTAGCAATCTAGCAATCTAGCAATCTAGCAATCTAGCAATCTAGCTATCTAGCTATCTATCTATCCATCCATCTATTCTATCTATCCATCCATCCATCTATCTATCTATCTATCTATCTATCTATCTATCTATCTATCTATCCATGCATCCATCCATCCATCCATCCATCCATCCATCCATCCATCCATCTGTCCATCTGTCCATGTCGATCCATCTGTCGATCCATCTGTCGATCCATCTGTCGATCCATCTGTCGATCCATCTGTCGATCCATCTGTCGATCCATCTGTCGATCTGTCGATCTGTCTATCTGTCTATCTGTCTATCTGTCTATCTGTCTATCTGTCTATCTGTCTATCTGTCTATCTGTCTATCTATCTGTCTGTCTATCTATCTATCTATCTATCCATCCATCCATTGATCTATCGATCTATCGATCTATCTATCTGTCTGTCTACCTATCTATCCATCTGTCCATCTGTCCATCTGTTCATCTGTCTATCTATCTACCTTTCTATCTGACTATCTATCTATCTATCTATCTGTCTATCTATCTGTCTGTC